GAGGGAAAATTTTCCCACACTAGTGCGGGAATTTTTTTCCCTCACTAGTGCGGGAAAACAGAGATATGATAAAATCGCTAGTAATATAAATGGTTGGTGATGGAATATAAAAGTTTAAGTTTGTTTGTTGCAGTATTAAGTATGTATGTTCAGAATCATCCATCAAATCGCACTACTTATTGTGAAAATTAAGAAATATTGAGAAATAAAAATTGATTATTAAAAAAATCCCCCTATAGATTTGGATTGATCTGACGGGAAACGTCAATTAGTCATGCCAATCAAACCTCAAATAAGTTTGATATTGTCGAAGTGACAGACACAGCGTTACTGTCCAAATAAGTTTGATATTGTCGAAGTGACAGACACAGCGTTACTGTCATTTTCGATTCAGTGGAAATGCCACAATGTGATCAAAAACTTCTAGCTATAGGGATTTGATACAGATGCGTTATCACCAACGAAGTCTTAAGAAAGGTATGAGAAGCTATACACGCGTTTTATTGAATGGTGCAACAATAAAGAAATGAAAAAACCGAATGAAGAATAGGTATTTTTGGCTCATTTCATAGAAGTGTCTGGAACCTAGAGACCAAACTCCTAATGGGCCTGCTGGCTTCCGCAATGAACCAATATAATGCGTCAAACTGTAAGTTCACAATAGCTATTACTAATAATTAATAGATAGAGAATATATATCTCTTGTTAGTTGTTCCTATTTGCTTGAATAATTAGTTGAACGATTCAATCAATTTCCTACGCTTGTAGAAAAAATATTGTTCCTAACTCATGCGGAAAGTTTCTTTCCCGCACTCGACTGCTTGCCCGAACTCCGCTTCGCGTCGTTCGTGTCAACGGCAGTCACGTGCGGGAAAGAATCACTTTCCGCACTTGTTAGGAAAATTACTATTCTATTTTTTTTTTTCGATCAAAGGCCTTCTATCAAATGTTCTTCTATCATTTGTCTCTCGATCAAATTTTCGCCACCCGTGGTCAATGGAATGAGTAGAGGACTCCACTCAAAGGATTCCAAGGAAATCCAAAGAATTCCAAGGATATTCAAGAAAATCCACGGAAATCCAAGGAATTCTAAGAAAATCCAAGGAAATCCAAGGAATTCCAAGAAAATCCAGGGATATCCAAGGAATTCCAGTTGTTTGTACATCAGAATTCCACCGCGGTCAACCCCTCGGTGTTTACCGAAGTTTACCATTGCTGTTCGCAAATATTCGCCCGAGTCTTCGCCTCAGCATCCATTGCAACCTAGATTGCACCTAAGTATTGTATGTACCTAACCTAATATTGATATGCGGTAAAATTTGACCTTGAAGATATATTGACTTGTTCATAATGTATGTCATGTAACTCGTGTAGGTATAACAATTGGAACTCGAATTCGAAGTTATCAACAATATTTCTCCACATTGTTTGTCTCGGCACGTTATTGCAAACCATAAAATTAAACAAAATAACTTCGTGGGTGCAGGCACGAATGCGAGCTTGAATGTTTTCTAAATTGAATTGCATAGTTCATCGAAAATCTCGAGGAAAATCTCGTCGAAAACTTGAGATATTTATTTCCTCATTAGTTATTTTACCAATTATCGCATTATAACCGATTATAACGGTTCGCTCAGGTTGTCATCGAAATTTCGGAATAATTGAATATTCAATAATACCAAACAGCATAGAAATAAAAGTTTGTATAGGCAGTATATATTCCTCGGTATATTCATATCAATATTCCGTATACCTACTTATAACGGGACATCTCGCAGGACGTCATCAACGTTTCTAATTGTTAGACCTCCCAAACCAAAATGTGAATCATGTGAGAACTGAATAATGATGAATTATTTTCGATTATATTGGAATTTTGATTGTAAATCCATACCACAGAACTTCGAGAGCATCTACGTCTGAATCGAGCGGAATCGAGGGGTGATCCACTCTTTCAAAAACAGATTGGACGAAGGATTGGACCGATTGGACCGATGTTATCGAATATCGAGTCGAATATTATAAAAAAACGAGATTGAACATTTGCGAGGATATTTGCATTGCGGGATAAGGGTATTCGGCCAAGTTTGGAACTCGGATTGAAGGAATTACATATCGGGGTTGGATTTTGACACCAAGTGTAGGTACCTACACAACATTATATGGATGGACATAGTGGTTAACCTTGAATATCCACGATTAAATCACTGCTTATCACTAAAAATTGCAATTCACATAACAATGGCATATGTTTGATAGGCTGAATATGTCACTTTTTCTATAAAAACTCGAATAACTCAAAATCCGAGTCAAAATCAGTTCATTACAGGCTCGATTTTAGGAATGATAGATACATTTGAATTAGAATCATGAGAGGAATTAAAAAATGTTATAGAATACATGGTGTACCATTGAAAATAACAAAGGTGACGTTACTTCCGGAAAAACCCGGAAAAACCAGAATCTTCACAATAACGAGTATATTATAGTTGGATTCTCTCGAGGATTTTCCATATTTCCTTCACCGACTCTACGAATTTTCCGAGGAATTATCCGAAGAATTTTCAGAATTGTGCTACCTCCAGTTGTCCATATATAGATCGCGTTAACTCATGAAGATATACCGAGAGATATTAATATACCCCCAACACGTCTGGCAAGAGAAATATTTTCATAGGAAAACCATCTATAGAGATGCATAGGTATCTAATAGAGATATTGAGGAAGCGAAATAAGCTGAATATATGTTTTTTACTCGGTTTTTTATGATATCGACAGTTACATGATATCGGCTAACTAAAGCTCTATATAGAGGAAGCGAAACTCGAAGCGAAATAAGCTGAATATATGTTTTTCACTCGGTTTTTTATGATATCGACAGTTACATGATATCGGCTAACTAAAGCTCTATTCATTTTTCCTGCCATGCTTATTTTCATTATTTTTTTACCATACTTTTCAAGAATCTGATATGGATTTTAATCTGTCTGTTCTGTACTCTAGAATTTATGTATCCTCACGAATTTTACCTTTTAACTTTTATAATATTAATTATTTTTCTTTATTTAAATATTTACTTAGTATTTTACTTCTTCAATATTTAATATTTTTTTTCGGAAACATGTTCCTAATTGTGACTTGACATAGATGTATTTGTATGTATATAACAGGGTCAAATAAACTACTCTACTCTATTCTAAGCGAAGTAAGCGACGTTGCCATCATATCTACTCGAGTATCTACTTTACCACGTTAGACAACGGTTATAAGATTCTAGGGTTGTAAAGTACTCGTCAGGAGCTTCAAAAGGATGTGCCAACAAGACCACCCTTTCCATTTAATATTTGTTTCTCAGGTGGCGCCCAGTCGCCGTCTTGAAATTTTCATCTGTCAATTTCACTTCAAAATCCAGTATTCTTGCATCAATTTCATTATCTCAAGTATCAATTTTTTCGGTTGAACCATTCAAAATATAAACGGAGGATATAATGTAGGCGCATATCTCGGCGCATATCTAAAGTTTTGTTTTACATATAGTTTTGAAGATGAATCTTCATACACTGGGATAACCGATTTCTGATGTTTCTCATGACTTTTCTTCATCTCTTGGAGCGCACGAAAGGAAAATCCTATAATGTTCGTGGAGCCTCGTGCGTACCTAGGGAGGATAGGGAGAGGATGTAGGTGTAGGATTTTATTTTACTTTTGGAGGTTATGACGAGGGTTATGAGTTCTTGGAATACTTTCATTGGCAAAGCTTCGCCGTTCTATAGACGAACAAGTTTTGGCAGAGCGTTGTTCGACATTTTTCAAGGTTAACGACGAAGGGATGTGCTGACTGGGCCTGTCGAGTTCGTCTGACTGGTATTGCTAGTGATGGAATTATAGGTCGCAGAGATTTATGAGGAACATTTCCCATGGAAGAAACTGTAGAAAAGTGAAATGTCGCCGAATTTTTTACGGTGTTCTAATGGGATCAAAGAGTTAATGAGCGTGGCATCACTCACCAGGCTTATGCCTCTTTTCTGGATGGAATCTAAGAGCATCAGCGTATGTTTGGTTGCTGAACCCTCGGCTGAACCCCATTCATGACTTGCCAGAATAACGGGCGTTAAGTTGGCAATTTTTTCCTGGATTTTTTCCATGGGGTTTTCTGAAATCGCGTGTTTATGTGAACCGTTCAAGGACCCTACAAGATTTGGAGACCAACATCTCGACCAACATATACTCGAACATATATAGGAAGAATGCGAGGAAGAAAGTACCCACTCAACGTCTGCTATTCTGGAAAGTCATGAGAAAAGCCTGAAATCGGTATACACTCAGTATATGGAGGATGGGGGACGTCACCTATCTGATTTGATTTTCAAAACTATGTGAAACAAAACTTTAGGTATGCGCTTGTATTATCAAAAATGAATGAAACTGTTCTGATTTATACAGAGGGTTCTATTAACTTTTGATAAAAGGAAGTTATTGCCGCAACCTGTGGAAGTTGAGAATTTTTTCCATACATACCATTTTTCATTGTCATCTCGAATTTTCATTCCAATTCACCAAAATCGGTATATTATTTTGATCACATCAAGCATATCTCTTTGCAATCTTTGTAAAATATGTGTCTGTCATTCTATTCGTTATATTCGACAGCTCTTTATCGATCGAGACGATTTTCAAAGTTACTATTCGGTGAAGTATATGAAAAGCGAGTTACTTGAGTTTTAAAATGGTGAACCTCAACTTTAGTTTTATTGATTTTTGATTGAGCTAGAGACATCTTCCAGTAGAACTTTCGATGACGAAATTTCGTACCTAAGTGTATTCTATGACTTTCTTCATTGAATGACCACCTCACTGGTGAATCGAAAAAGCGAAAATTTTTAAATTTGCCATTGAATAACTAGTTATCACCCTATATGAGATATTGCGTTCAAACGGCATGTTACTTCATGGTGTGTTTATAACGACGTTTATAATGAATCAAACGTTTTCATTTTCAGGCAGTCTGGTCGCCACATCGTGGCGTTCCATGATGGAGGAGATGGACTGCACCGCGAAAGCCATACGACAAAACGCCGACGCCATCGAGAGCAAATGTCTGGACGCCTTGAACGCCCTCTACGCGGACAAACGGAAGGCCAGGAAGGCCTACCAGGAAGAGCACTCGAGAATCCTGCAGCAGTTTACGCACGTGAGTCATTCCCTTCTATGAGTCCCTCCTTTCGTTAAAGAGTAATTTCTGTGAGTCATCCACGAGCACGTGAGTCAAGTTGTGTCCAGGAGTCAGTCTCGTATGTGAGTAATTTCCACAAGTGAGTCAGAATCGTTTCAAGTCATAATTTTTCGTTAGACGGTTCGGTCTGTGGGAAATCATATTTCCACTGTATATTTCTGTGTCATATGTATATAATATTTAGATTTCACTTTGTAAATAACTATTGATATCAATTGTAAATATTATCCATTATTATCATGTAAATGGTACACCCTGTATATATCTTCATCGAATTTTGAGTCGAGGCGATCTCTAAGCTTACAAATTACAAAACAGATGTGGACTTTCCCAAAACTCAAATATTGTTTGTCGAAACAGTTTTATGATCGTGTTCTCAGGCTTAGCGTACCCCAATAAAATTCCATCTGGAGGTACCAAACAAACAGGGTTGGCACGAATTAATTCATATGAATTAATTCAGTGATTTAATTCATGAATTAATTCACACATGACTTTTTTTTAAAAGTCATGAATTAATTCAAAATCACAAATCGCATTATCAACATTTATTCAAACTAGTTTTAACTGAAAAATCCGATAATATTATGGCAACCTAGCCATCCGGCAACCGTGGAGTGCCCACAAAACAATACAATGCACCGCGTCCGCGCGTCGGGGAATAACCGAAAAACCGAAATCAAAGAGGGAAACCCAGAAAAACGGCATAACATTAGAACATTACATTGGCATTAATCAATCAATCAATCAATCAACTTTATTATTCCCAAGAAACAACATTTGTTTATAGCAGGGAACATAGTGAATACATAAATATATTTGACAAAATAAAATAGTAGACAGTAAAATAAGACTCACACTCAAAAAGATATTGAGTGGTGGATGTCAATATTTTCACTAATAGATTTAGATCCTGCAGCGGAAAATAGCATCAAACAACTTATGACAGGAGTAGCTTCATCCGCAGGTGTGGAAAGAATATTTTCATCTTTCGGGTTGGTACATTCGGATCTACGCAACCGACTAGGAGTCGAGAAAGCCGGAAAACTAACTTTTCTGATGAAGATTCTGAATAGGTAATAAGCTAATAAGTTGCATTTGATTCTCAGATTGTTTTACAAAAAGTGCATGTTATGTTATGAATTGAGATTTCTTTTGTTAAGTAAATAAAATTTGATTTCTTTTCAAAGTGAATTAATTCAAAAAAGTCCGACTTATTTCAAAAAGTCTGACTTTTTTGACTTTTTTATAAAAGTCATGACTTATTCCAACCCTGCAAACAAATGATTCGGATTTTCTTAATTATTTCATTTCAATGTGAGTTACACTACCAGGTTTTCTCTTTTTCTGAGAAACGTGCTAGGGTTTTCGAACCGATCTCACGTTCTCAAAACAACCCTCAAGAACGACAGTCTTTTCTCGACACTCGAAGTGGTTACTCGGTTCGCGACAGCTTAACTGACCAGAGACGCCTCGACTACGAATTCACTATTTTTCATTTTGTAAATATACATCATATCAACCGCTACCATACAGCTTTCGGCACTGCCAAAAAGATCCTCGCAAATATTCAAAAAGGTGTTCAGTTCTTCCCCACTGAAACGCCAAAGTGGTGACCCCGACGTGATTGTGTATTTTTAGGCGAGTGACATTTTTTGTGAAGTGACGCGTAGCCAACATGGTGAACAACGAAGCCAATGCACCAGCCGTCAACCCTGTTACATTCACGGTCGCAACGTCGCTACCTGAATTCAACCCGGCTGATCCTGAGATTTGGTTTACTCTAGTGGAATTACAATTCACTTCAGAGTCGATTACCGACCACGCCAAACGATACCTGAGTGTCCTTAAGGCGTTACCTCGTCGGTACAGCAGCGAAGTGAGAGACATTATTGTGCAACCTATCGACGATCGCTCTTACGAGCGGCTGAAAGAAGGCTTGATTAAGCGACTCAGTACGTCACAGGAAGAAAAGACGAAGCAACTCCTTCAGCAGGAACAGATGGGCGACGATAAACCATCTCTGTTTCTTCGACGTCTTCAGAATCTGGCAGGTACAGCTATACCAGAATCGCTAGTTCGTACCATTTGGCAAAGTCGCCTGCCGACCGAGATTCAAACAACCGTAGCAATCTCGACAAGTAATACCTTGTGCGAAGCAGCTGAAACCGCTGATCGCGTGCACGATATTTTATCGTCACGCTCAACCATTTCTGCTACATCAGCTCCTGATATCAACTATGCCAGCGATATACGAAAGCTTGCTATTGATCTAGAGCGAGTGATCGTACGCCTAGATGCAATTGAGGTACGGTTGAACAGTTTGGAGCGAAACAGATCGCGATCCGGTTCCCGTCCTCCACGCTCCCGTACACCAGGAAGTTCCCAATCCGGCGTATGTTGGTATCACAAAAAATTTGGCAGTAAAGCAAATAGTTGCACCAAACCATGCAGCTGGCCGTCGGAAAACCAATCGGGCAATCGTCAATAGCGGGTAGCCATTGCCCAATTCAATCCCGCCGTTTATTTGTTCGCGACCGGTCAACGAACTTACAGTTTCTGGTGGATACAGGTGCAGATCTGTGCGTCTACCCTCGTCATCTCCTCCGTGAACCACGTGAAAAGTCATCGTACGTACTTTCCGCGGTCAATGGAACCAATATATCGACATATGGGACCTGTACATTCACCCTTGACCTTGGCCTACGGAGGGACTTCACCTGGAGGTTCGTCATCGCAGACATTTCAAAGCCAATTCTAGGAGCAGATTTTCTTGCACACTATGGACTGCTCCCTGACCTATCCAACGGCCGCCTAGTTGATTCCACTACGACACTCACATTTCCAGGAGTAGTAGTAGACAGCGAAATACCGTCTGTAAAAACTGTAGTGGGCTCTTCCCTATACCATGACCTGCTGAACCAGTTTCCAGACATTACCCGGCCTGAAGGGACTCCCAAGAATATTCAACATGAAACCAAGCACCACATTGTGACAACTCCAGGACCACCAGTCGCTCAGAAACCACGTCGCCTTGCTCCGGACAAACTCCGAGCTGCCAAGAAAGAATTCGACACTCTCCTCAAATTAGGAATTGCTCGACCTTCAGCAAGCTGTTGGGCAGCTCCTTTGCATTTGGTGCCAAAAAAAGGCGATGAGTGGAGACCATGTGGCGATTATCGTGGACTCAATGCCAGGACGATTCCAGATAGCTACCCTGTTCGACATATTGAAGACTTTTCTCAGTGTCTCCGCGGTAAAACAATTTTTTCTACAGTGGACTTGGTGCGCGCGTTCAATCAAATTCCGGTCGCGGAAGAAGATATTCCGAAAACCGCGATTACAACCCCATTTGGACTATTTGAGTACCGATTCATGACATTCGGCCTGCGAAACGCAGCTCAGACTTTTCAACGTTTCATTGACGAAGTTCTCCGTGGATTCGACTTTTGCTATGCTTATATAGACGACATCTTAGTTGCTTCGGAATCCCCAGAACAACACATGAAACATTTGAAAATCCTGTTCGATCGTTTGGCTATGTACGGCGTCGTTATCAATCCCGTAAAATGCGTATTCGGTCAACCAGAAGTTACCTTCCTAGGCTATCGAGTCTCCGAGGCAGGTACTCGACCCTTGGCCGATAGAGTGGACGCAATTCGAACTTTCCCGCGACCGGACACTGTTAAAAAACTTCGACAGTTTCTAGGTATGTTGAACTTTTATCGAAGGTTTTTACCTGGTGCTGCCACCAGTCAAGCTCCCCTCAATGAACTTCTGAAGAACAATGTGAAAGGTAAAGCACCTGTGAATTGGACACCAGTAGCAACCGCGGCTTTTGAGGCATGTAAAGAGAGCCTTGCACAGGCTACATTGCTGGCCCACCCAAAATTTGATGCAAATCTCGCTATTTTTTGTGACGCGTCAGATTATTCCGAGGGGAAATTCGCTGAGGAATTTTGGTGTACACTTGTGTGGAATTACGAGGAATTACAGTGGAATTGCATGGCATTGCGAGGAATTGCGAGGCATTGCCAGGAATTGGGAGGCATTGCGAGGAATTGCGAGGAATTGCGAGGCATTACGAGGCATTGCGAGGAATTGCGTGGCATTACGAGGAATTGTGTGGCATTATGAGGAATTATGATGCGCATTATTGGCATTATAGTATGAATTGCGCATGCGTTGATATTTCGATTACGTCATCGCTCGCCACGTGTTCCAAGTTGTGTTAACGGAAAACGTGAAATCACTGAGATCCTTCAGTAGACTGCTAGACTGTTAGCTAGGTTAGGAAAATGACATAACGATACTACACATACGCTGTTCTGGTATCTGTGCTCTGAAATAAACAAGGTAAGTGACGAATAAACGTTATTTACTCGGTTATTTATTTTGGTTTTGTTCTTATTTTGGGTGTTATTGTAGAAGTTTTATCATAAAGAGTTAATTAGTCCTTCAGTTAATTAGGTTGGTATTTACTAGATATACAGGGTATCCGGAGATAATATGACAAAACTCGTGGGGTTTATATAGGAACTGCCAATATGATTGCAAAATGCCATGTATACAAATGTCCAAAACCGCTTCGTTACTGACATACAGAGTGATTTGTTAGTTTGGACAACAAATTAAATCCTCCATATTTAATGCCGATTTGGGTTAAATTTGGTACATGAATTGAACTGAAAGGCCTTAACTAGTAGTCCTGTGATGAAACCAATATCAGGACCGGAGTATTATTTTTTATCATGTTGAGTTACCCTGTATAATAATTATCAAAAATCTGATCACACATTCAAATTCTACGGAAAAATACTAATTTATTAGCGTTTATTAGTGAGCAAATATAATCCACAAACAATTCAGTCAATTCCTTTTTGAAAAAGTTGCTATAAGATTTTTTTTAGTAGATTTCAAATCTGCTATCAGATTATTGATGATTGTTTTACTAGGTCAGTAGTTATTCTTACAAGAAC